TGATCTCCTAAAGGGAACTCAGCGGGACACCACACCTCTACCATGGTCTCCAGAGGCAGCGGAGACATTCCTAACCATCAAGTCATCGCTCGCAGAAGCCGCAATGTTGGCGCACCCGCTTGCTGGTGCACCTCTCTCGATCATGACGGATGCCTCGGACGTCGCTGTCGGAGGAGTACTGCAGCAGTTCATTGACGAAAACTGGCAGCCCTTTGGGTTCTTTTCCAAGAAGTTGGCGCCAGCCGAGTCCCGGTACAGCACTTTTGGACGAGAACTACTCGGCATATACCTCACCATCAAACATTTTCGGCATTATTTACAGGGTCGGCAATTTCACATCCTCACCGACCATAAGCCGATAACTTATGCACTTCAAACGACCAGCAACCGTCTCTCTCCTCGAGAGAGTCGGCACCTTTCATTTATTGCGGAGTTCACAAGTGACATCCGCCATATCAAAGGCACAGACAACTCGGCTGCTGATGCGTTGTCACGGATACCTTGCTGCAACGCCATTCCCACCGCTGTGGATTTCGCCGCTCTAGCAGCAGCACAGCAAGGCGACCAAGATATCCCAAGGCTACGATCAACATCTAGCAACCTTGACCTGCGTGACGTGTTGCTGCCAGGCTGCAACACAACAATAATTTGTGACATGTCCACGGGATCTCCCCGACCGGTGGTACCTCCAACGTTTCGGCGATCCATTTTCAACTCACTGCACAACCTTTCTCATCCCGGCATTCGGGCGACCCAACATCTCATCGCCCAACGCTTCGTTTGGCAAGGGATGAACAAAGATGTGCGTGAATGGGCTCGCACGTGTCTGCATTGTCAGCTGTCTAAGGTTCATCGACATACCTTTGCACCTTTCGCCACAGTACGGACACCCACCGCTCGCTTCGACAACATCCACGTGGACATCGTCGGTCCTTTGCCACCATCCGACGGAGCCATCTACATGCTCACTTGCATAGACAGATTCACCCGCTGGCCAGAAGTTTTCCCTATCGCAGACATCCGCGCGGAAACCATTGCGAAGACAATCGTCAGTGGTTGGATTTCACGATTTGGAGTTCCGTCATCTATTTCCACCGACAGAGGCGCTCAATTCGAATCTCGTTTGTTTAACCAGATCATGACTCTTATTGGGTCCTCCCGAATTCGAACAACAGCGTACCATCCCGCTGCTAACGGCCTTGTGGAAAGATTTCATCGTACCCTAAAGGCCGCACTAAGAGCACACAACGACCCGAACAACTGGAGCACACTTCTTCCCATCGTGCTTCTAGGCCTCCGCACAACACTAAAACCAGACTTGGGATGCACTGCCGCAGACCTAGTCTACGGACAGTCACTTCGTCTCCCAGGAGAAATGTTCGTCGCGTCTCCTACTTCTACCGTACCCGATCCTTTCAGCTATGCCACCCAGCTTCGAGAAGTTATGCGGAACCTGCGTGCCACACCAACAAGGCAGCACGACCGTCATCCGACGTACGTGTGCGGCGAGTTAACCTCGGCCACACATGTTTTCTTGCGTCGAGACACAGTCCGGAAACCTCTGCAACAACCTTACGATGGCCCTTTCAAGGTCCTCGAAAGGCGCGACAAGTATTTCGTTCTGGATTTGAACGGGCGGCATGACACCATCTGCGTCAACCGCCTGAAGCCTGCTCACATTGAAGTATCGTCCGCATCCAGCCTACACCCTCTACATTGGCCGCCTTCATGCCAGCCGACGGCACCATCCTCACAAGCCACCGAGCATCAGCATCATCGCTCCGTCTCTTGGGCACAACATCGCCCTAGCGACTCCTCTAGGGGGGGAGCCCTTGTAGCGCCAAAGCGCGAGACTTAGAGCGGTGGCGCCAAAGCGCGAGACTTAGAGCGGTGGCGCCAAAGCGCGAGACTTACAGCGGTGGCGCCAAAGCGCGAGAACTTAGAGCAGTGACTCACGCAACGTCAGCAGCTAATGGCGTTTCAAGCGCGCGGCACGAGCAGCACCGCCGGCACCGAGCTCCGGGTTCGAAGAGAACAGCACGAGCCTGGCAGCGTTCGACGATGTAGCAGGGCGGTCTCAACGGAGCCATTTTTTATGTTCTTTTCAGTTTTTGTTTGGCGATAAAGATAAGTTTGTTGATTGCATCGACGGACGTCTTTCCTGACCACCACAGACCCTTTCTAGGGTGCCTAGATGTCTGTCTGTCTCATTGTGAAGACATCCATTGTTGTCCGGAATGTGCCAGCGCGTGACGCTCTCGCGCACTCGGTGCGTGACTTGGGCGGTAAGATGGCGTCTATGCCTTAGCCAAAGCTACGCGCTCGAGCTGAGTGACACCGGATTGCGCGCACTTCAAAATGCATAAAAAAACGATTGGGTGGAAAAATGGCTGAGATGTCACCACTCAAGCAAAAGCGCGCGTGTGTATGAAGGCACTCTAACCCTTTCCGGAATTAAGTGCCATCTGGTGACTCAAATGGCAGTTTATCTTTTACTATACTAATGGCGGCAATGAACCTGTGGTCTGCAGTATTTTATGGGGCACCGTCACTTTTAAAAATCAACAATAAACGAGAATGTGCACTTCACTACAATTATTTTTCAATCTCTCTTAGTGTCGATGGCGAAACAAATGCAGCCAGTCGGAACGAAGCGCCAACCCACATAGACGCCTTGATAGAGTTCTATTCATCAAGGGGCTTTGAAGCCGAGTGAGTGCTACTAACAGACTGACTGGGACCGAGTTAGAAATGAACGCTTACGCAGCTTACGCTGCGCTAACATCTAGAATGTATTGGCCTCGAATCACCTGCTTAGGGAGCATCTTCAACTTATTCCTTCATCAGTAAACAGAGGGCCGCCATTAGTATAGCACATATGCCGTTTTCAGATGATGATGATAGTGATCAAAGTGGCCAGACTGAATTCCGGAAAGGGTCTATTGGGTGGCACTAAAGTCCCTTGTCCCTGGGAAAGTAGCGTTAAAGTCCGCATATTGTCACCTTTTTCGGTTCATAAAATGGACCGAAATGGCAACCATATGGGGACCATTCGTGGTGAGTCGATCCAAACTCGCGGTGACTAATTGCTTTATAGAGACATTTCTTGTATACCCAAGTTTTGTTATCCGCAGACCGGCGAAACAGGCGCACATCTTCGTACCACCACCACATGCGACGTCGGTGCTTGGAGGCATCGAAAAATAATTTCCCTTTTATAAACACGCAAGAAGAACAATATAATGTTCAAGTGAGCTGTGGGGATAAGGATGATTGATAAGTTGATTGCGTGCACAGTGCCAAAGGCGCTTCCATTGGCGAGGAACGCTTTTAGTATGATGACACCCCATAGCTATCTTGATGCAACTGGTTCAGAACGACCCTTTCGAAGCTTTGAATGTTTGAACGGACCGAAATGGCGATTTCCGTGGCAACAAAGACCGATCAGCCAATCGCCTTGCGAGGTTTTGGTCGTCTGTATGTTAGTATGTTTGTGTCCGGCTAGCAGGTAGGGAAGGCAATGACACTACTTTCCAGGACTCGGTGACCTTGGGTGGCACATGGCGGACCCCGGGATAACTTTATTTGTTTGGAGTACTGCGTACACGATTATTTGCATGTGTAAAATGATTAGCCAACAGTTTTATTTTGTTGGGCTTTATTGTCAAACTTTTACATGGCTACTACAACAAGGCACGCTGTATAAATACTAACAAAACACTCGGTTCACGTAATCGCGAATAACAAAGACCTCCTTTTTTTATTTTCTCAACATCACTCTCTTTGGAGGCTATTTATGTCCCTTCGATTGGGCCAATGCAAGACATGGGCTCGTGTAAAGGGGAAAAAATAGTACTTTTAAGATTTAACTATAAATGGTAACCCCTATTTCCGAATTTTTGTAGAATGCTTCGTGAAATTATGCTAATGACGCAATCTCAGCAAATCAGAACCAGTGAAATGGGCATGTCACGAAGGTGACTGTTGTGTCGCAAAGAATTTGCGTCATAAACGTAACTGCATAGTCTGTCTTTGCGACTACAAAAGCTACCACTTAATTGCCAAACCTAAACAGTATTAGTGCCGTTGTTTTCGAGCACTTGTTGTGGAAATAAATCGGTGTTCCACAATCAGGGGTCTTGGAGGAACTTATACATCAAACTGTTAAACTCGCGAAGGAAGTCACTCTCTTCACGAGTTTTTGGATGACTATTATGGTTTCGTGCATTATATGCTATGAAAATAAATATCGCATGACATCTTCTTTTAATGTCCTATCTTGAACAAAATATACAAATAGCTCGCAGCTCAGGTTAAAAAAGAAACATTATCCGAAAAGACATTTGACCTGCATAAATTGCGAAATTGCGAATGATTAAAAACCCCAGAGAGAAGCAGATCTGAATGCTCACTGTACAGTTAGGACTGAGAATAAGAAATACAATAGACCTTTCCCGAAACCCGATCAAGCCATGATGACGGCCATTGCGGTTTGGTCGCCGCTTCCTGTCTATTGCTAAACTTGCACAGAGCCAAATCCGACCAGTGACGCCGCACAGGGCGGCTTAAATAATTTCTACATGGCACGCATTTTTGTAATTTATTCCGTGCAAAGAATAAATTTCAGACAAATTAATTCTGAACAGAAAGACCGAAAGTACGAATGGTATACATATACATATACTGCAGTACAATGAAAAATTAAAATATGTAAATTTAAAAAATAAAAAAAAAAATACACAACAGCAAATGGACTATGATATTTTTGGAGCTATTGTGAATAACAAGAAGATCGATCAGAACTCAGACCATTGTAATCTCCTGCGACGAAAAAACCTGCGCAGGAATCTTGAAAAATTAAAATTCAAAACAAGCAAGATGGGAATTATTCATCTTGTAAAATCCCGAGGCTTACAACGAGAAAAAGACAAAAGGATACAAAACACACAGAGTGATATTTGCCACTCTCAGGAGTGTTCGTTGGAATTGTACGTCGAGTCTCCAAGAGCACTGGGGAGCCCAGGCGGGACCCACATTCATATAACCATCCCGAGAGCTCATACTTAGAGCTTCCCCTGTGTGAGCGCCGGAGGATCTACTCTATCACTTACATGCGGAGGGATAACAGTGCGCTTAGGGTTGGCTACAACATACCATAAACCACGCTTCAGTGACTTTTCAGGCCCACGAAGTGTCCACTCGTGGTACGGTGATCATAGAGGACCTACTCTCTACGTTCGCTCAGGGTACCACAGAAAGAATGCGTACCGGCGCCGCTCCGGCACTGCGAATCTTCATGGGGAACACAAACATAGTTGATCCGACCGACGGAAGTTCCTGTAGGTTCGCCACGTTCAAGAGACTGTAGATGTTCGCCGCAAGAAGGATGTGCTGCGCACCGGAGTCTTTGGAAGGACCGTAGTCGAGGGACGGAGCGTCGATCCCGACACCGTACACTTTTCTTTTGGACACGAGCCACGTGGCTGCGTCCGGATGCAGCCCCGGGTGGTGAGGCCGCGTGTCGTAGTGGGACGTGCCGTTCATCTGGCCGTGGTACTTGTACCAGGAGGGCCAGTAGCGGGACCAGCCCGTCCTCACCAGCAGGATGCAGCCCTGCGGTAGCTTGCCGTGGATGTCCTCCCAGCGCAAGACGTCGGAAATGTGGAGGCGGTAGTCTCGGTTCCGGAGGACGTGGATGGCGATGTCGATGACTGCTCCAGGGGCGACGAGCCGGTTGAGCGGGATGTCTGTCACGGACCACCGGCCTTTCATCAGGTGGCGAGGGGTGAGTATGTGTGTGCCTCCTCTCGTCGAGGCGCAGAAGTTTTCGTACTGGAACCTGCACGTAATTAGCATTATGAGACGAGAAAACATAGATTGGAGTTATTCTATAAAAAAAAAAATTAAATGGCCGAGATGCCGCCATTTTTTTCTAACAAACGTGAGAAGTCGTTTCTTCTTTTCTTTTAATGGTTAAATAATGTTTTAAGGAGAATAGGAACAAAACAACAACAACCACACTTGCTGACACACTTTATCCGAATTTGTATCTTAGGTATTTGCATGCACCCGTTGTAAATACCACACCTACTCAAACCCCATAAGCTCCTGAATGGCCGTGCCCTGCACACTATTGTCTCAAATTTGTTAGCCAGACAATCGAATTTTAATCAATAAGTGGGAAGATGTATCAACTGCCGGTGCAAAATAAAGTGATTACGGGAGATTTTTATGTTTTTTAGCTTCTGAACACCGTACCCGGTTGATCGTTATGTATTATAATTTATAACTTAAACGTTTAGGGAGCACCAGGTATTAGTTAACGAAAATGCTTTCGTTAGCTTGAAATTGTTTTAAAACTAGTTTGTCTAAATTTTGTTCAACCAGTACAAAACTCGATGTAGACATAGGCAAAGCTATTTTCAGACAATTTTTGAATACTCCGCATGTACATAAATTGGCCATATAGATAAGAGAGCAGCGCTATTTTGACCTAAATATTAAACATTAAAGTCAAAAGGATGTGAACCTGTCAATCTTTCATGTCAGGTTTAAACTAGGTTTATTCGTAAACTGGAACTCTTAAGAAATAAAACGTTCATAGAAAATTAAAAGAAAAGAAAGTTAAAAACGTAAAAGATTGCGTAAAAACTAAAAGGCTAATACAGTCACTAAATGGTGACAACCGCTCGCATACAATCTACAACTATATGTGTATCTGTGTATTCATATTATTCATTACCATATTATTAATTACCAAATAGACTACATTGCAAGCTGTAAAGAGACATGTGCATTTAAATAAACATTACCGCTTTTGTTTATTTTGTCTATTCGATATAAATGTTTGCTTACCCCAGATTCTCCAATTCATCCAAGTTCAATTTACTTAAATTTCTTTTATTTTTTAATAATTAGAAACATTTTCACATTTTGGCCCGTAAAGTCATTAGTGGGATCGAAACATGTCGTAGTAAGAATACTTCGCGATTAAAACAATAAAATACGCATCAAAATGCACGACTTTTCTGCAGGCCACTGAAAGAATTGTATGTGCTGACCTCGATTACAACTTCGAAGTTTTATTAAGTGTATAAGCGATTAGGCGATTTATTGGCACGAAACAGATGCTTAAATTAAATACAGCCACAGCGCTCATTATAAAATTGATCTCAAGACAAAAACAAAAAAACAAAAACAAAAAAAAAACAACTAACGATGAAAAAAGTATTTTCTTTCTGCGAGAAAGGAATAATATGAGTTCAAACGGGGTAAAATGAAAGAGAATGTATACTATAAAGGACATAATGAGCTGAAACAGTTCTTCGTGCCTATTTGGAGTACCTGCCAGTTTTGAGAAAACTCTGGTCCGAACTAGGAATAGAATGCGGGGTTGAGGTCACATACTTGGGACTATATGACAAATGGAGGAACAATAAAACTAAAAAAAAAATAATAATAATAAAAAGGTTTGATTGGACGTTTTAGCTTCCGCGGGGATACTTCACGCGTCCGATTGGGGGAAAGAAAGCATCTGCGCGCCTCCTCAACCACGATCGAAAGTCATGCGGCAAGTGGCTTTCTAACTTCGATCGAGAGCGACATATCACAGCCGACGCACGATGGAGAAGCTTCCTTCGACGCTTTCAAATATTAACAACAGAAGAAGCACGACTGTCGTTATCGGTGATATGCGAAGCGGCTGAAGAGATGCACTTCCTCGTGCTAGTGTAACGCGTGCTTCCTTGCATTAGCGAAAAAAAAAAAGAACAAAAGGTATTTTTGTGCTACAATACGAGGACAAAAATAAAAAGGTATCGCGTCTCCTTCTGCATACCCGATATGCAGAGGGAGGAAATCTTTCTCACGCGACTCAAACTTCCCCGACAGCGTATACTGAAGCGACGTTGCTTCTTCGTCCACGGACAAATCGCCCAACGGTGCATGTTAATATAAAAAAAAGGAGTCGTCTGTACACGATTGCGTGACGCAGAGTACCAACACCAGTGCGGTGTCTCTCGGTCTTGTTACATAATGAATCCGGCGGATGTAAGTTGGTCTCAGGGTTTCCTGAGTCGTGACACAGTGCGATGGACTTGACAAGAGGTTGGGCGTATCAGTTCATTTCAACGTGTCCCTAGGGTACCCCGGGTACCAAACCTCGGCAAATTGTCATTAGAATGTCGTAACTTGTGGCAGAAATGAAACGACAACTTGCAAAACAAAACAAAAAATGCGCCAATTTTTTTTTAGGCCTATATATTTATGGGAGAAGTAGGTAGCGGAAATATTACAGCGTCCATGAGATTTGTTAAAGGGGTCAAGAAACGGACATCAGGTTGGAATGTTCATAACTTTGCAGAGGCGTACGTACTGCCCCAGTCTAGCCCAACTATACTCGCATAGACCGCCACTGTTTCAGAAACTCCTTCGTCGCGGTAAAATTGCGAGGATAACAGGGGACTATTTTTTTCAGTCTTGCGTTCGCAAAGATTGTTGAGGTAATTGTGGGATCGAAACCACCCGCCTGACCACAGTCGAGCGCGGCTCATGTATGGGACACAAGAACTGCGTGAGCACTCGACTTCGGCTCGTAAAGATCAATAGCTCGGCTTACATTCGGGTAGTGGCTCATGCCCAACCACTGCGGTGATGAGAACAGCTGAACTCTAACAATGCCTGGAGCTCAGCACGCGTTTTTTCCTTTGCCAAGCCCAGCGCGTGAGTATGATTAACGTTTGGCCCGGCGGCATAGGATAGGTAGCAGGCCACGTGGCCGCTTACTCTGGCTCCCAGGTGAGGGATGAACGATGCTCATATTTCTTGACTTTGTTTTTGAAACTGCCTTTGCCTAGAAAGAAAAACCAAGGCAAGTTTATTCGGTTATTAACGTTAGGAAGCGATTCAAAATAGTGTTTAGCGAAAGTGGAAATCGTTTCAGGGCTCCTTTAGATTTCTTTAAATTATTTTAAACGTGAAAGGGAGAACAGAAAAGGAGTGTTGATGCGCCCCGGTTTTTCCGTTTTGTCCAATGAACTGCCCCAATAGTTTACCACGGCGATTTTTATATTTTTGTTTCACACTTTGACACGAAAAATGAAACCTTTTCACATCAAGTTTTACGGCGATTTTTGGCCGAGGTTTTGCAGCGGATCCCGCGTGTGTTTCATGTGCGGGTACGTCGTGACCCGCTGAGTTTAGCGGGAAGCTTTTTCCGCTAAGTTCAGGAGGAACTCACAGTGTTGTGACGTCGTGACATCACAGTGTTACGTGACGTCGTGTCATACGAGTTCACGATTTCCTCGCTGAATATAGCGGGAATTTAGTATCCCACGACGCCATGGTGCAACATGACGTCGCACTGTCACGTGATGTTACGACGTGAGGTGAAAACAGTCCTTTATTTCTAGTTGGTCGTAAGTTCGCTGAATTGAAGCGCGGCAGTGTAGCTGTGTGCAGCGGTGAGCAGCGTCATGTCTGTACCTCAATTCCATTGCAGAGAACAAAAAGGAGCCAGGAATTGTTTTTTTTTTTAATTTCCTAACATTTGAACAAGGATTTATCCATTAATTTAACAAAATAACAAAGCAAGACATCACCGCCCTTTTGTAAAAAAAAATATTTTTAAAAATTTATTTTGAGTTTATTAGGTTTCTCAGTTCCTCTGACCCACGCGGAGTCTTGTTCAGGTTGCTCGAGAAAAGTAATCAGTTACAATTACAATTTCTTTTCGTTACAAGTATTTAATTATATTACTCGTTACTCGAGAAGAAAAGTGATTGGCCGTTATTTGATGAATTGACCGTTACTTTCCCGATCGCTTCAGAATTTCAAAACGACACATTTTTGTGCCGGTTCGAAAACGGTACGTCTTTCGTGTTGTACATTATTGAATTTGGATCAGCGAATTATAAACTATTTAGGTTTTTAATCCACCAATTTCGGTAGACAATTTTTATGGCGGAGATTTGGTTCGAAGAATTTTCATGGTAGGAGACGTTTGCGAACAGAGCGCGCCATTAGAAAGGGGAGGGTAAGAAAAAGTGACGGTTACAAGTAACTTCCAAATGCAATCCGATTTTTTGTGTGATCACTGTAATGAGAACCGTACAAGTCTGCCCAGGCCACGCGGCACTGACATTACGGAGTTTTAGGGAACCGTTTTGCGCATGTGCGGGTTTTCTACGGTAGCGCATGCGCAGTTCGTACCGGACGGACCATCGGACCGTATCGGATGTGCAAAGACGGTTTTTAGATCTCCCTATTATTGTGATAGACGACAGGGCTCTCACGTGGTAGCTACGACTGGCTGTCGGGAAGATCACTGTGGGACGCCATACATGTTAGAGCTTGTCAGGTGGTTGCAATCCAAGTTATTTAATTGCACATTTTTCCACTCGGAACTGCCGTGGAGGGCCCGGAATGAGCAGCGCGCTCTTCGCGCTGACTTTCGGTTGACACTCGCAAACTGGTTGGTTTTGATATTAGGTACATTTAGCACAGCGTTACTGTGTTCCGCGTACTGCGCTACCGGAGCCATTGAAGCATGCTTTTAAGCGCGCGCCCCGCCATCATGGTATATCTGGGCGCATGCTTAAAGGCAAGCTTCTAAGGATCCGGTAGTACGGCACGCGGATCACGGTATTGATTGTTTGCTAACAGTCCCTATTAAGAACAAGTAAGTGGTTTCCTTTGTCATCGGAACAAGCTTCAAGAAAATATAAGATTTCAACAGATTAGTAAACAACCAGCCACCGTATACCTGATCGTTGAAATTTTGCAAACGGAGGGAAAGGAAGTGGCTGCATCGCCTACAGCTACCTATACACCAACTCAACT